TATCCGACAATATCAATTTTTTTAATTCGGTTTATGAACTTTATTTGTATTACTTAAACGTCTTGACGTTAGAGATTGTGTTAAGGTTTTCAATAAATTCCAATTCCCAAAGTTTCCAAATAATATAATGTTTCCAATTACTGTTGATTTTGACAATTATTGCAATTTTTGATTTTCGCGACTCGCGACCTCAACCGCCACACATTTCACTAACCCATCAAAGATCGTCGCGACGGCGCCAAAATTTCTGCAAAGGTTGATTTTTGTTGCAGCGTGGAGTTTATAGTTATTCTGTTGAACGCTATGCGGTTTTCAAGTCATCTTAATGTATAATTTCTCACATTTTATTCAATATTTTGTAAAGTTATAATATTTTGTAGTATATTTATAGCGCGTGTTACTATATTTAGAGCGTGATGTTTTCAAGTGTACAACTGGCTCACATTTTAGCAGCAGTGCCAAGCATTGACCCATGCGCACAACAACAAAAACTTGTCAAACTTGTTTTACCGGTTGAGAATTTAATGTATTCGTCCGTGAATCTGGACGGCGGCTACATGAAACGATCGTTCGTTTGCTCGCAGTGGTTTCTCCTCAGCTGAGAAACCACTTCCAGCAGGGTACCCAGCTGATAAATAATGCCTCGAATTTATTAGTAACTAGCCAATCAGAACGCGCGAAAGCTCATTTCGGATATGCAAAATTTATACTAAAACAGATTAATACGTCAAATTTGACCAATCACCTTGTAGGATTTGTTATGTTCACTTGTGCAAAAATACTAAAAACAAATATTGATAACTTTAAAAGAATCTCAAACTTTCAAAATGTTGCTTTGTGTTTTAATAAATACGTAACAGTTTCGGACAGCCCAGTTAAATCGAATTTCACACTAGTACAAGCCATGCTCGACTACCGTACTATACTAGAAAATACATGCATACAGAAACCCTCGCGTTACTGATAAAACATTATGTTTTCTGAATATGAAGAGTTGAAAGTAGTTGTCATGGTAACACGATAATTTTAAGAATAGTTCTAAAATTGAAAAATCCCGTCCCCAAAATTATCAATTTCCCAAACATATATATGCTAGGTATGTTATTACACGTACTATAAGCTTCAATTTAATGTAAAATTCAACTACAAACGCTTCGCAACACGTTTTAAAATCTTCTTAGAACTAAACGGCCTTTTATCGAATTATCGGTAAACATTGTCATTGAGTTTGAAATAAACTGATTTCAAATTCTCGCATGAAAATAATTTTGCTTTCCTCTTTATTTAAATATTTTAATATACAAAAGAAAGGGTAATTAATAAAACTACACTGAAATTACATGCTGTCTTTTTTCACTTTATATATACGCAACGACGAGCGCAACGATAGTATATCAGTTCGATATTCGCAGTATCGCCCACCACTATCAGTTATAAATATATCAATTATAAAACAAACAATACATTAAAATTTAAAACAAACTTATCTTCATTAACGTCGGCGACTTTGCTCCATTCTTTTAGAACTTTTTAGACGTTTTTTGGCTCTCAGAAAGGTTTTGAAATTTACAAGATGAAAATTACATTTAGATTTACAAGATGATTACTTGAAAGAAATGTTTGTTATTTTCACTATTCACGACAGTCCGCTACATATTTTGAGATAAGTGAGGATGACCACCCATGAACGGTGAGCCATGCGCCCACGATATTTGATGAACTTTAGACTTCGCTAGTGCGTTCCTTTCCCCGGTGCAAATAGCCGGGCGGAATTGGTACCCTCGCACGGCGTTTCGCGCCGTCGGCTCGGGGACAATTTTATGTCATGGATGTATTGATGTGCAAAATATTAAAATACCGAAATACAAATATAAAATATTTAATCAAATACTAAATACAGCAACAAACATCGATCTATAAGGGAAGAGACTATAACATACGGCATAAACAATATTGACAATGTGGCATAAATGATGGCCCCACTGTACATTCAACCTCAAACGACTGATCAAACGAGTTGAAAATGATGCTCAAAAGTGACTTATTACGCTCAAGTTACAACATAGAAATAGAATTAAGTAAACAGTAAGTAAAGGTTTGTAAAACGTACCTGTTCGAGGTATGACGACCGGTAGATTCATTTTTTTCAGCAATAAAAACTTAAATACAAATCGTGAACCGCAAAATCCGAAGGCGTGAAAGACTTTTCAGCTTTGGTGGAATACGCAAAATTATCCTAAGTTATCCTGAAAAGATGTTTTCGTAATGTCCAATGAAATACAAGCATTACTCACAGATATCCATAACTGTACTATCCATATTAACTACGCATGCATGGTCTCTAGAGTCTCTGTCTCTCAAGTGATCCAGATGGCGCATTTCCCGAGACGAGAGAGAAAAGAAAACACCATGTTAACTCCCACGAAAGTGCAGAATAGGATAAATACAAAATCCACATAAGAACGCGGCAAAATTCGTAAACAAATGAAGAAATATATTGTTTGAGACTGAAATAGTCACTCATTGAATGGCCGCCATCTTGAAAACTGATCTGTATCGTAAACTGGAACGGACGGAACAAACTGAGCCTGCGATGCGCTAACGCAAACTCGATTTCTCAACGACGAAAAAACCCCAGGAAAAACAGACACTTGGCCACAGGCCAGTGTAATTAATTGAAGCTTATGTTACACATATTAATAACCTGCTTGGCAAGCTCATTGAAAGAAGAGCCTGCAACAATCTCAAGAAAATTTGATCACCGCCCACTAATTACTATGATAAATTATTTCCAATCCAACCAATCATATTCTCTGAAATTCGTGTGCGTGATACAGTGTGAGTATATAATAACTAACATTCTTTATTAGTACAAAGTTACTTTGCACTATTGTTATGAGAAAAATTAAATAAAGCGACCGATCAATGGATCGATCTATAGAGTAAACAATCCGGGGACCGAGGGGAGCTTGCGAATGATTTTTTATTATGTTTACTAAAGCTTCGCACGTTCGCCCAACTAATCGTTTATAGCTGTTCATAGATTATAAAAGCTATATTTATATCCATAGTGGTACATGTTCTTGCTTATTTAATCCAACATTTAGATAAGTTATAACCAAATTACTGTTACATTTCATGCACTTGTTGTTACATGATTCCCCACCCTCCTGCCATATGTAAATACGCGTGAATTAATACACGTGTTCTCATATAATATAATATCATTTTACAATGTCAATGGCGGGCATGGACGAGCGGTGACTATTGAGCGGCGGTGTGAAATCGTGTAGAGTAGAGTGGATTACAACTGGGTTTGACAGTATATTATAGCAGAGTGGTTTGTCTATCAAAGATACGGAGCGATGAATACATGAATAAGTGCCAGTGGATAGTTTTGATACTGATGAAATTATAAGTCAGCAACAGAGTTTATATCAGCTAGCTTACTATTGTAACAACGCGGTAGATGTAATATCGTGAAATTTTGTTCCGAGGCAACATGCCGAGGTCGTCGACGAGCGTTTTTCGTTTTTATTTATAAATATCGGCGACGCCGGCGAGAGCCAGTAAACTAATAATCTAATGTCTGCAGTGAACTACATTATATTTAATAGCAGAAATTCCTGTACTGTAGTCTATAATTATTATTATTATTATTAATTAATTCTCCAAACATTTGGTTTTCAGATTAATATACATGTAAATTATATCTAAATTATTCTATTGTATATTTACAGTTTAAAATCGTTAAAATTAGATAAGTTCATTAGGATTTTAAAAGAAAAATTTCAAGCAGATAGTTATAAAAATTATTTTTAAAGTCTTTACAATTGTCATGTACAGTAATGTTACTAGGTACAGAGTTCCACAGGGATACTGCTCGGTATTCAAATGTTCGTTTTCCGGCCGCTGATCTATAAGCTGGAATGTTTAGTTTTTGTTTATTTCTGGTGTTTCTATCGTGTAAAGATAATCTCTCCTGAAAATATGAATTGAGATAGTTAGGGGCTAGTCAATTCAAACATTTGAACGTTAGAACATCAACAAAGTATTTTAACATGTCTGGGACAGGTAGCCAATTCAGTTGTTTGAGTATATTGGAGTAATATGCTCATATTTTTGTGTTCCTGTGATTATTCTCGCCGCGAAGTTTTGCACTTTTTGTAATTTTTCTATGTTCTTTTTGGTCGTACTGGACCATACGTTTGAGCAATAATACAATTTGGAAAATACTAGGGACGAGATGACATTTTCCAAAATCCTAGGGTCAAAAAGATGTTTAACCCTGTTTATCTGACATAAGCTCGCAATACAAGTAGAAACAGTGTTTGCTATATGTTCGTTAAAACTTAGTGTTGAATCAAGTTTAATCCCAAGATCGCGTGCTGAAATAGTGGGAGTAATCCTTTTCTCAAATAATGTCACATAAAAGTCATCCGGTAATCGTTGCAACATTTTGTGTGTTCCTAGTACTAACACTTTGGACTTGTCTGGATTAATTAGTAGACTATTGTGACAGCACCATGCTGTGATTTTTGACAGGTCTTCATTGATATTCCGCATAACTTCATTAACATACTTGATGGGAAGCGAAAGATACAATTTTGAATGATCTACGTACGATTCTAAGTCACCGAAATTCGGGATGGTGGGCAAATCATTCAAATATATATTGAACAAAGCAGGTCCTAATATCGAACCTTGCGGTACACCATGAGTGATATGACCTGGTTCTGACACAACTGAGCCAATTTTCACCTGCTGCGTCCTTCCGGTCAAGTAACTTTTGAACCATTCTAAGGCGCCAAGGCTTAGGCCTAATGCTTTTAGCTTTGTTAAGAGTTTGCGGTGATCTATACTGTCAAACGCTTTTGACAAATCCAGCAATACTATGACTGTGAGTTCTTTTGAGTCCATTGCTTTAAACACCTTGTCTGTCATAAACACGCCGAGAGTCTCACATGAATGTAGTTGTTTATTACCACTTTGATGTTTACTTAGGCATTTCTTTTTGCTCGTATATAGGAGGTCAGCTGATTTAAAGCTACTCGTTCACAAATTTTAGAAGTCGCTGGTAGTAACGATAGTGGTCGATTGTTATTTGCCACTTCGTGATCTCCCTCTTTAAGAAGTGGTATTACTTCTGATATTTTCCAGGCTGATGGAAAGACTGAAGTCTGTAACGAGCGATTTATTATGTCAGTAATAACTGGGAGAATACATGGAAGTGCATCCTTTATCGTAGACATTCGTACTTTGTCATGGCCAGGAGCTTTGTTCGATTGGAATTCCATAACTGTCCTTCGTACTTCTCCACATGAGACAGAAACAAAACTAAAATTTTGTGACTCAGCGACAGCCAGCAAAACACTTGTTGGAGATGCAGGCAGGTTATATAATTCTATTAAAGGCGTGCAATCTTCTGATACTCTTCTACCAACTGAGGAGAAAAACTGATTAAACTCATTAGCAACTTCTTTCATATCCTTTGTGTAGATTTGTTGAGTGCTTTCTTTACGAGGAATACAATTCTTAATTATCTTCCACTTTGAATTAGTGTTGTGACTGTGCTCTAGTTCTTTCCGTACATATTCCCTTTCGGCATCTCTCAGCTTGGATTTTACTTCTTTTCTTAGTTTACGATACATTTCCCAGTCTGTTGCTAATTTAGTACTTCGAGCCGTTTTCAATAGGTTATTTCTGTATTGCATAAGTTCGCGAATTTCTGTGCTAAGAAAGGGGCAGCTGCGGTGTTTAATCCTCACTGTTTTTACAGATGCATGTGTTTCCATTACATGGAGAAACCTCTCACTGAAATGGTCTAGCATTACATTTGCATCATCCATAATGGAAATATCATACCAAGGTATTGGTTGTGAATCCGCGAGGAAACTATCAGGTTTGTAGTTTTTGTAGGATCTCACACATTTATAACTAGGTGGCGGCTTCAACATCTTAAGTTTCAAAGAAGCATATATTAGATAGTGATCACTAATGTGAGATAAAGCTACCACATGATTTTCTACTAAACTGACATTCGACGTCATAATAATATCAATAAGGGATGATGACGTTTCTGTTACTCGTGTAGGTTCTTTTATCAATTGAGTTTGATTCACACTTGTACAAAAATCTAGTAGCGTCATAGCCTCTGGAGAATCCGGTTTCAGCAAATCACAATTTAAATCACCTACAACAATTATCTCTTTTCCTAATGTGAGAGCATGTATATAATTTTCCATGAAAATATTATGAAAGGTTGAAGTAGGAGAATAATCAGGCCTATATATCACACAGAGGAGAATTGATCTTAGTTTCCTGAGTTGTATTAGCATCCATAGCTGATGAAATACGAATTCAGATATCCCTGTTATGTTTTTGAGACATTTGACTTTAAGTAATTGAGACATTTGACTTAGAATAGACACAAACACCCCCTCCAGTCTTGCCCAAACGGTCTAATCTTGTTAGTTTAAAGCCCTCGATTTCTACTTCCGCGTTTGTCACCGTGGAGTTTAACCACGACTCTGACAAGGCTAAAATATCATAGTTCTTTTCCTTCATAAGTTCTCGAACCTGTATAAGGTGATTCCTATTCTTAATTGAGCGAACATTTAGGTGGGCAATTCTAAGTTTCAATCTTTGCATATCCGAAAGCGGTTTTGGAACGTGTTCTTTTGTTATCGCAGTTAGGGTCTTTTCCCTAGAGTTTACAATTTGAATATTTACTAGGTTCGAAAAATTTGGTCCAATTTGAGTCATATTCTGTGTAGGGTAGCGCGAGGTGATTCTGACTGGTATTCTCATTGTCTCGTCATGCGGTACACCACATCCAGATGGATCAACCACTCTAGTGAGTGATGACGATGAGATGTTCGATATGATGGTGGTTTGATGTTCTGACGTTTTAAAAAAGGGCGTCGACCAGGGGAATTACGTATATTATTATGCCTTGGTGAAGTTAAAGGCTTTGAATTTGTCTGACAACCTTTATAATACTCGGTGTCGCGGTTTTTAAAAACACTACTACTTCTACTTTTAGTGTTGCAGAACGAAGTTTGATTAGCCTGGTTTAGTGTTTCAATCAACGGTGCTTACCGTGTGGAGGTGCTAAGACGAAAGATTTGCCAACATTTGGTTCTATATTGCTGTTATCATTGGTCGCTTGAGTGATTGGGGTAGCTGCTCGTTCTTTGGTAACAGAAATTGAGAGCTGTACTGCTTCAATTGATTCCTTTGAGTGATTATTTATTTCGGACACTGGAGGGTCAAGGTCAAGGTCCATGGTTGGTTGATTAACGTTTTCATGACTGTTATTAGTTTCAGGTGAACAGCCACTAGAAGTAATACAGACATCAGTCTTTAAAGTTGAGAAAGCATTTTCGTTAACCATTTGACTTTCCAGATCCAAACTACAGTTCGCATTTGATGTATTCGTTGACAGCAATTTCACTTCTAACTCCGAGATACATGATTTTAATGTAAATTTTCACAGTTTGATTTGCATAGTTCTTGTTTATTTGACTTAATGATGTTATTCTGCTCAGAGAGTTTATAAGATAAATTTTGCAGTTGTGCCTCAAACTTTCCTTAAACGTGAAAAATTGTGATTCAAATTTGGCTAGATTTCCATCAGTGTGTCGGTAGGTGGAGTAGACATGTCCGTCGGTTGGGCAAAATCAGGCAGCCCAAAAGCATTACAAAATGACCTGTCAATAAAGCCCTGAAGTTCCTTTATAGTAGAAGCATCAGAGCTTGTTAATATATCATCGATTTTGGATATGTTGGGTAGAGCATCTGTCTGAGATATATTACTTAAGTCATCGATATTAGACAAGTTGATTAAATTCTCTGCGTTAGGTGTAATAGTTCTTTCAACGGACGCAGTTACAGCGCAAGCCACTTCATAGCAATCAGCTTGCTTAGGCTACGATTGAGGTTCTGAGTACTTTAACGTAGAGTTCGCTTCACAAAATTTTATTAAAACGTCTTGCAGCAAATACCCTTCCTTTCCCTGGAATAGGAGTGTTCTTTGTTTACCATAATACCAAGTAATTGTTATGTTAGATTTGCAGTTTGATAACTTCTTAGAGTTCCCTCCCGGCGATGTCCATTTGCCGTTCAGGCCAACAACTGTCTCGAAGAAATATTTTAGATCTTCGAAGTTTTTATTCCATTTTAAGCGCTTGCCATCATAGGTTAAGCGTCTGGATTCAAACTTTTTATACGCGTTAAGGTTACGGAAAGCGTCTGGATTCAAACTTTTTATACGAAAATCTGAACATTCTGCGGAGCAAAGACAAGTACGACCATACGCCATTGTACAATCAAATTGATGTAATGTGTAGTCAGTTCGTATAGTTTTCGAGCCGATTTATATAATCAGTCATTCCAAGATTTTGTCAAACTATATCGGTATTTCTGACCTTTAACAGTATGCCATGCAGGGCCGCCGAGAGGGGGGGCTATTTTCCCCGGTCCCCACCTTAATAGGCCCCAACTTGAGAGCGAGAGCCTGAAATTGAGTAGGTTCTTTAAATTGGTCAAAGCAATTTTGAAATTCAATGCCCCTTACAGTAGCGCCACATACAGTCTAGCTAAAGTCTATTTGGGTGACTGACTTGGGTCTAGCTTAAAAATAATGATGTCATGGGGCCCCCAGAGAAGATTTTCCCCGGGGCCCGCTAATTCTCTCGGCGGCCCTGATATTGCTATGGAGCTATTTCATACATTATGCGAATCAAAATAAATCTTTATCATTTGTCATGTCAACTTTGCACTATACTTGGGATCTCTGAGTTATTGTTGTACAATCATGGAAATTAATTCGTAGACTTTTCAAAAATCTCCCAATTTCCCCCCTCCCCGTTTACAATGTTGGTTTGTGGTCCAATAACCATGGTTTGAACCAACATTGTGGTAGGGGGAGGGGGGAGTTACTATTTCTAGCGATCATGGACGTTTGTATTAACTAAAAATAAAATGGCTTTACAAAATAGTAAGGCAAGATGCGTTTGAAAAAAGTCTACGGATATTATTTCCATGATTGTCTAAATTTAAAGACAAAAATTGTGCGGGGATACTGGAGAAGCGGTGTATAAATCCTCATTAAAGCTCTAAAGCATGGCAGATTCTACATGTTATATTGAATATTTATGAGTTTACTTTATAACAGATCATAGTACAGAAAGATAATCAAGAAACTTACATCATATACACTGTCTGCTTTTACTTCAACGGAAAATCTCTTCAAATAATGTAATAGTTCGTTGGGTAATAAAGACTCTTTCAAGCATATACCCAAGATTTTAACGGAGAATTTAATATATGATCCACTGCTGCATACAATTAGCCTGTATTTACAAAACGTAATTCTGCGTAATGACTGATGTAAATAATATTCGAAAGTTAATAATTAAAAGTTAATAACTAACGCATTGTCGTCTATTTTATGAGGGAGATTCAAATTTTTGTCCGTCAACCGAAATGTTGAAGGTACGAGACGTGACTGATTGCAGTGACTATTTCATTAACCTCTATATATTACATATAGGACAAGTTACTGCATGTTACTACATGTTACTGTTCATGTTACTGTAAGTGTACTACATTTTTTACCATATAATTATTTAAATAAGTTCTTCGTATGTTACCACGTGTTACTGTACATGCTACTGCACATGTTACAATCAATTTATTATATTTTACTACGTAATTTCAACAAGTTACTACATGTTACTGCTGTTTTCTATAAAAATAGAAGTATATACTTTATATAAAAAACAGCAGTAACATGTGGTAACATGTTGAAATTTTCAACATATTGCTATCTGTTATTGCTGTACATTATATAAAGTATACATACTTTAATAATTATAAAAAAAACATCAGTAACCTGTTCAAATTATATAGTAAAATATAATAAATACATAGTAACATGTGCAGTAACATGTACAGTAACATGTGGTAACATGTGCAG